CAGAATAATCTAAACCCTATTTTAGTTTCCTTTCTAAGGTAGGAGAAAGATCTGTGAACGTAGATCATTTCTTTATATATATTTTAAAAGTTATTTCCATAATCGAAGGATAGGTAAATGATTGATCCGCTCTCACAGGCAAGTCAAAAATCTTCTATATTTGATAATAGAAATAAATTAATAATTCATTAGTCTAATCGGGTCGATAGGATAATATGTGAATCGTTTTTCGGGATGGTTTGTATATTCCCTATGCTACACCTGATTAGAAAATTGAATTATAGTCTTCCTTCTTTTAAATTAATAGAAGGACATTAGTCTGCTCCTCGGGGAAGTATAATGTCAGACTATATGGATTTGATTGAAAGAAAATATTTAAAATACAAATAAAGCAAAATCACGCGAGAAACAGTAGAGCATCGTCAGAAAAATTTTCTCACTGCATGATCTAGAGTTCGAGCCTGGTTTAGTACTAGGGATTGGATGGCTGAAGGGTTTGATTGGGCATGGATAGCGTCAGTTGTGGCTTAGACGTCGAAGATCAGGCGGTCAGTGAAGATGGATATGAGGCCTGGGGTCATATTAAGAGGTTGTCGATGGATGGGAGTTCAGTCGTGAGTGGGGTAACGATTTGGTTTTGGTTGTGAGTTGAGTCGGCTACCAAAGATTTGCATGAGATTGAGGGATCAGGATTTGGTTGAAGTGGAATTGTGATAGTAACAAAGATGCAGACAATTTATTCGGCTTACAATGGAAGATCGGGATCAGTACAGGTGATATAGGTTCGAATAGTCCATCCTCAGTTGCCATGGTTCAGTATAGGAGGCTTGTGGGTGTCGAGCTGGATACAAGAAGGATAGAAATTTTCTTGTGGTCAGAGCAGTTCGATTCGATCAGAGAAGACATTGGGATCTGATTCAGAATCGGCATATGCAGTTTTGTGACGATAAAGGGAGAGCTGGGAGGTTCAGTAGAGGGCTGTGTTCGGCTTTCTCACGTGATCAAAGATCGAATAGACCATAAGGATCAAGCTGTGGAGTTTTGCGAATTTGGCTACAAGAGGAAGAGGTTCGTGAAGCAATCGACCAAAAGGATCGGGTGAGAGGAGGTCAATCGGCTTTGGAGTAGGTTGTGGAGGTTTCGTGTGTCGAAGAAAAGCGGATCTACCAAGTGTGTTAAAGGTATTTCCTCTACATGTTGATGAGTCTATTTAGTTAATCGACTATGACCTCCTTGTTAGCTAGCTAACACCTCACAAAGTTGGAATTTCTTTTGTGGGCATCAACGATGACATTTGTCTTCCCTAGTTGGTATTAAATTTGTACATCATAATTCTATAATAATTATGGGCATCTTCTCTACTGAGCTTTCTAGTGGGTCATGGTGATGAGTTTATAGTTTCAATGTGTAGAATATTTTGGGCATCACCCATTAGGGTGATCATGCTCTAACAACTAGCAATTGAGGTTCTATTGGGTAAGGTTAAAGTACTAATATGCTATACTATGGGAAATTATTATCGATTCCCCATAATTTAACATTCAAAGTATTAGTAAGCCACTTTAGAGAAACACCCACTATGCTAATATCCATAGCTAGGGAAAGCACCACTAAAATTCCTTTTTAAATACTTTCATACATTTTAGAATTGAAACATCGTTAAAAAATTATCTTGATCAGGCACGAATCTCAATGCAAAATGGAGTTGGAAAATTCTAAAATTAATTCGGAAGCCATCTCAACTTCGATTTCAATAAACTTATAATCAAATTGAGCGTCTCGGAAATACGAAAAAAAAAATGCAAGATAATATTTAGAGAAATTGGGTGAATTCAAAATACATCTAGCTTACATGAAGCCTCATTCATAGCATGAATCTTCATTTTCAATGACATTGACCTCTGACATAGCCTCATCCCAAAGAATCTCATAATCCTCTAAAGAATCATGTAGTCCCCAAAGCCTCCTAATGCCTCACTTAGCCTCATTCCTAGTGAAGCCTTATACTCACATAGCCTCATTCATGGAATACCTCAAAGTTTTACAAAGCCACCTTGCATAGTCCTCGCCAAACATTTCACCCCATAATCATATCTCATTTTCATCATTGTCATTGTTTACAAAGTCTCATGTTTTCCTTCATCCTCATCCCTCTTTGTGCCCAAGTTATTAATTTATTTTAAATTTTTATTTTCATTAATGTTATCCAAACACAATAAATCATCTCATGAATTTCAAATAGACTGCATTTAGTTTACACTAAACTTTATATACTTGCAATTAATTAGTTGATGTGTGATTTATGCTTAGCTTATACCATTGTTGCCCACCGCACTAGAATCTTGTGTAAAGTGATATAAAAATAAATAAGTTTCCAAATTAAATTAATTAAGATTTTCTAAAATTAAAAGCAGTCATGCTTCTTGTTAGGAACCATTTGAGGCATATATTGGGCAATGCCACAAACTTAACTTCATACCCCTTTATGGGAATATTCTATTGAATATGTTAATTGCATTCATATTTAGCAATAAGCCACCATCATGATGCAGTCATCTCAAAAATTAATGATAGACTCTTCCCATGAAATATTACTATTAAAGCCCTCCTAACTTGATTTATTATTAAGTTGTGTCAATGCTCTACATCCTTAATCAAAATAAAGGTTGCTTACACTATCTTCCACATCACTAATTACACCATAACATCAAATGTCTTGTAAATCTATGCTAACTTGTGGAAGAGATACATCTCTTGTGAGCTAGATTGGTTTGATTTGAGAAACTATTATAGCCTTGGGTCTTCTAGTATAATTAACTTGGTAGGAGTATACATGATTATTGCCAAAATTTGAATGTGTTATTGTGATCACTAAGGGTGTCATTGTCCCATGTAGTAGGTCTTAATAGTTTCCTCTAATCATCCTAAGTACTAGCTTGCCTATTTGATGTTATCTCCTCCCTAAGAGATAGGACTTCAATCTCGAGCAATATGATGTTTCCTTATGATCCATCTCCTATCTTTTTATGCAATCTATAAGAAAAAGCCACTATCACTTTATTAACTTTAGGTAGTACAATCATGAGATACATGTAGACTAGCTTATTCTACCCACATTCTTCGTGTAAGTAGACTCTTACCAAAGGACCAAAACGTCTAAGCTTTGATACCAAATCTATTCCAACCCAATGATGAAATTTGGGCCAATATTGATCAAAAGGGCTAAGAAGGCTAAACCATTTGGCATAAGAAAATATAAGAAGTTTTTTTATGGCACCAAGCAATGCCAAGCACTAGATACTTGAATATCAATGATTGAGAACCCATAATATTAAGGCATGTCAATAATACCACTTAAAATTATTTGATTGATGCCCTAGGGCATTGAATGGTTACTTTTGATAGTCCACCAAGAAAAGTTGGAGAAAAACATAATTGAGAAAATTTTTAAAAAATAAATCCATGAAAATTCAAATTAACACCCGACTTAAAAGGAATTATAAATAAAGATTCATAAAAAGAATAACTCAATTAAAAAGTATGTCCATATTACAACTTATTTTATTACAAAAAAATAAGTAAATGGAGAAAGAAGTGGAAGGTTCCTTAAGTCTCTTCCACATTGAGATCCTAACCATCCATCCAGTTAATTTTAACTTGTCACTTATTAATAAATCATTAATTAAGAGTGACATAACTTGTAAGAATTCACTAGTTACTTCCACATCATCTAAGATAGAAAAAGAATAATGGATCATGACAATATCAACGATATTTGAATATCAATAATCTCATCACCTCTACGGTCCCCGCAAGTCCGAGGTCACTAAACACCTGTAAGTATTGATGTTCAAAATCATATAATATTGACATTTTCCTCGAGACACTCATCACATCTCTCACTTTCGCTTCAATAGTTTATTCGATATTCACCATGGGCGAATATTCATAAAAAACAAAGCAATTTACAACATTAATACGCACAAGTGTACTCAAACCATCTAATCATTTCATATATTCATTCTCAATAATGTAGGAACACTAACATTGATAGACAAAATATCATAACAATTACAGTCACTAAAATATGTTAAGGATTTTTCACTTGATGGTAGGCACGAAGTTTTAGTAGTAGTGACAATCATTATTAAGGTTTCAAATATATGAGGAACCTTCTACTAGCTTGACCATGTGGCACTCTCCTAAGGGTCGCTTTCTAATAGTCATGAATAGGCTTTATACTGGTAGCATGGTAAGGAGAGTAACATTGAGGATATTGTATTGTTTTTTTGGAAAAGATATTTGCATAAGTGGTTAGCTATACTTTACAAAATGAGTTCTACTCATTCACCTCCATAAGAAATCACAAAAGATCTCAATCTACTCACCATCACAATCCCAACCACTCAAGTCTTAAGGTTAGCTCCATACATTTGGTGCTCAAAGCCTCTAAGGTTTTATTTGAGATGGCTTTTTCATTGCTTCTTAAAGCAGCTTTATAGTACAAAAATTTTAAAAAAAAAAATTTACTAAAAAATTGTTTTAAGAAGCAACCAAAAAACCGCCCCAAATGCAGCCTAATTGAGGCTTATCAAACAAGTGACTCTCTAGGACCAATAAATTATGTGATACCCAAACTAGTAGGCCTAAAATCCAGCTATTCAACTCAATGCCCAAACCACTCATCACCCTCTATTTGGAGCTCAAAAGACGCCTTAAACTACTTGGAGACAGGGCCAACCACTAGGCATAATGGCCAAAGCCACTTGATTCAAATTGTTGAGCACTTTAGCTATTGGCTCAAATGCCTCAATCAGACTCTAACTTTAAATTACCCAGCAGTAAAGTTCTAAGTTGTTAGTCACCACCTTTATTGATTTTAGCATCTAACAATAAGAAGCCAAATTGCATCTAGATTAATAAACTTTATATCACAATATTTGGGACATTTCTAATGCCACAATTTTATTTTGTAATTCATTTGCTTTCAACCAAAAATAAAAAAATTAAAACATTGATAGACAAAATACAATACACTCAATATTTCCAAGCAAACATCCCCCTATCAAAATCAAAGCAGGAATCATAAATGCTGAGATTTAAATACCTCATACATAATTTGTATGGAAATAATTGTAATCTGAATGTGAACTTTACATGTAACTATATGCAAGAATTGGCCTCAGGCCAGAACGCTACTCCAGAGTTGGCTTACCTCTTATTCCATTTCAACTTGAAAAGAAGGCACTATAAAACCTCCATAGTCATAATGAAAAATGCCTTCCATTAGAGGGATCATTTGCATCTGAGTGGTTTATGCACAGAGAAAGCATTTCTCAAGCAGTAAGACTGTTGATGCCAAAATATACGGTCTTTCTTTGCAAGGCATTGACAGCATAGTCCACTCGAAATTGGCCGAGGTGAGAGTTTAGGCGAAGCCCATAACCAAATCCAACTCCATGTCCTGGTTTTCCTTGTCTAATGGCAGGGTAACCTAAACATTCAATCAGATTAATTAAGAATCAGAATAATCAAAATGGACTAAGGCTTCGTTTGTGACGGCTTTTTTATTGCTTCTTGAAACAGTTTTTTAGTGTAAAAAAATTAATTTTTATATTAAAAAACTGCTTCAAGAAGCAGAAAAAAAGCTGTCCCAAACGAAGCCTAAGGCGATCTTTTTGTTTAATATTCAAAAGAGTAGAAAGAATCACCAGGAACAAGATGAGCAGATCCCAAGTCTGTTCCACAATCCATGAATAAAGCCCCTTCCAACCGTTTTGACTGCAGGGGTAAATTTATGTCATTAGTTGGTAATTCTTGAACAGCTTAAAATCAAATTGGAAATGGAAGTGATTGCCCTCACATAATCAAGTATAAGATTAGAGACACAAACACCAATAATTACGGAAAAATAGTGGCTTGGGTCTAAGAGTAGAAGATTAATGTAGAATAAACATGAGTTTTGATACCAAATAACGAAGAACAGGAAGGAGAAAGAAGAAGATGAAGAGTTGAAAGAAAAGAAATGTGGCGAAGGACAATTTACAAAGAGATATGAAGGTAAAAAAAAAAAAAATTCTTCCGATTTGGGCTCAATGGAGGTATCACCCTAATTTGTACTAAGCAACGCTATTAGAGCCAGGAAAATGTGAAATAAGGACGGAAAGTGTATAAAAGTTGAGAAATGCACAATAAAATAATTATGGGAAATACTAGGAAGTCTCAATAATAATGACAATATTTTGGTGAAATGTCATCATAGCTTCAACTCCGTAGTCATGAATGAATTCTATGGTGATGAGGAATGCAATCAATGGATTTTGCTACATCAGAAATACTTCAATCAGTCTCATATATAAGCAGAGGTGCCACAGCATTTGATAAAGAGTAACTTCGGTAAATGATTCCCAGTCTCCCAAAACTCCCTCCAAATTCCCATCAGCTTCCTCTTCCTCTCTATATTTTTTCTGATTCCAGGAATAAGGACCGTGTTTATCTGTGCATTGTTGTTCTGACTCCAATTTTTAGAGAGGGCATTTGAACCTACTAAGACTTCGTTTGAGACAACTTTTTATTATTTTCTAAAGCAATTTTTTAGTACAAAAATTTCTTGAACCCAGAAAATTGTTTTAAAAAACAGTAAGAAAATTATCCCAAATGAAACCTAAGTGTTGTCTGCACGGTTTTGATATTAGCAATGAATTTATGTATTGTTTACTCTTTTTTTATTGAAAATCCCAAATTACATGAATTGTTTTCCTATGACCTAGTAGTTTTCCTACCAGTTCCATAAGCCTTTCACAGCCAAGTATGGATCAATTACATGAATTGTCTTACCATATGGCAGTCATCGTAAGAAACAAAAGGTGAACCAAAATAAAATGTTATCATTCTTGGGTTAGACTTCCATTTTGCAAGAAATTTGTGCCTTGACAAGTATTAAACTCTGAATGAACATAAGAGATCCTGGTCATGGAGGTTTGTCTAATAGATCGCACATGTGGGAATGTTGAAATCCTTACCAACAGTAAGCAAGGCGGCATGCTATCAAACCCGTGTCAAAACTAAGCAATACCTCTCCTTCCCAACTTCTTCATGGATCCTATTCAATACCACAAACTACATAAGCCTTTCTATCTATCGATGGGACTACGCTTCATAGATTGAGAAATAACAATATTAGAATCATGGTGAGAGTGACACCTACAAAAAATAAGATAATTATGAAAAAAAAAAAATTAAGTGGCATGAGCATATACAACAGCATGGTTAGCGGGTTGACCACAAAAAAATAAGATAATCACGGACTACGCCTATGTAAGAAGAGGAAAAGTCAAATCCAAGTCAACTTCGGGTTAGCGGGTTGACCCGGACCCAACCTGATTATTTAAACGGGTTGAATTTTGGAACCCAAAATCAACCAGTTTGCCAAACAGGTTGATCCTAACTAAAAAATTTCAGGTCTGTTTCACGTCGAATTTTTAGGTCGTGTCAAATATTGACACCAACACTACCGTTGTCAGGTCCCAAGTCCTAGATGAGAAAAGTGGAGGGTTGCGTTAGGAAGTCGATAGCCAGCGTAAAACTTGTCGAATAATCATGACATGAATCCTTTAAAAAAATTGTGTTAATGTTAAGGCGTCCCCTGGAAGCGAGGCGCTGTATGGCCTGAATACGGTGCAGTGTTAAATAGGCAAGGGTTCCCACATCAAAGACGAATGTGGCAAAGAAGCTAGTCCATGAAACTAAAATTAGGATAGGAATTTGAAATATAGGCTCCCTTACAGAAAAATTAATGGAATTAATAGATATTATGATTCATAGTAAGATAAATATTTTGTGCATTCAGGAAACTAAATGGGTTGGAGAGAAAGCTAAGGAGATTAATAGTTTAGGATATAAACTATGGTATTCGGGTAGGAGTCGTACTAGAAATGGTGTAGGTGTGATTATAGATAAGAGTTTGAAGGATAATGTTATAAAAATT